GTTCCCGAATATCAAGAAGTTTTTTCCCCTCAGTTGGCTTACAACACACTTTCATATTTCGAGAGGCTTTAAGCCGGTTTAGAACTCAAACTTTTTTTCTCTCGACCCCGTATTTGCTTATTTTGTTGTTTTTGTATATGTGCCGGAAAACAACTATAAGAAGGCACCATTATATTACCCCTTTAGTCGTTCTGAAAGGGAGCTCAAAATTCATTCTTTAATAAGGTTATGTCGTGAGAGGAGGGATTATAGGTGAAAAAATGAAGGACTCTAACAACCAGCATTATCCGATTTTGTTTTAGTCAAGAATCTATATTTCTGGATGGTTTTTTACGAAGCTTATAACATAGATGCGGTCAGGTAAAAACCAAAAAAAAAGAAGGAATTGTGCTTTGATGTTCTCGGCATCTGTTGTTGACATCCTTCTTTGTATACGCAGCAAAAGGGCATAAAAGGAACAAAGAGAAGCGAAAAATGATTGTGAAAGAAGATTGCAGAAAAAGTTTTTTGTTTTTTCACTCGTATGCGCTTTTTGGTTTTTTAATGTTGCAAAAGGTTTTTTCTCTATCATTCCAGTGCTTGATTGCTTGTAACGAGCAGTCAAGGCCGCTGATGATACCGTAGCGGGAAGGGGTGGTGGTCCCCACAAACCGAAGTTTGTAGACCGTAACTACTGAGGAACTATGTTTTCGCTTCAGTTTTAACCTTATTTTCTACGATATTTATTAGTAAAAAAGAGAACGAATGAGAAATCAGAAAAAAACTTTAGGATTTGTTGAATTCAGCATGTCAGTTTTGACACGTATTGCATTTCTCCCATTGAATTTGTATTAGCAATTCGCAGATTTAGCGAAAAACAGTTTTTTGATTTAAATAGTGTAGTAATTGTCCAATAATGCACTAAGAGCAAAAAGCAGACAAGTTGTGATTCATAGGCATTGACGAGCTGTTGATTTGGTTTCAGGGTGTCTGGAATAACAATGAAAAAGGAAAAAGACAAAATAACTATCGCTACTTAACTGCGTGGATTGGCAGTGAAAAAACATTACCAAGATAAAAGCAAAAGTTTATTTGGTATCTTCTGAAAATTAAATGCCAAATTCTCAAAAGAGGCACTACTTTTGAATCAACAAACGCTATGTGTTTTTCCTCGAACACAAGAAAAAAGTCAAAAAAAGACCCATATACCCATCAGAACATTTCATTTTCTTCGCTTCAAAATTTGCCAGCGTTGAGCTGCAGTTTATCCTAATCAACTAGAACGCCTTTGATAAGCTTTTGCGGAGCGATTTTTTAGAAGATGCTCTTCAACCTCAGATGGTGTAAAGATTAAATTTTTGTTAACAGTATTATCGACATTACTTTTTGACAATTTTTTTGGCCCATTCTAGGGGCTCAATCGTAGAGGATCCGGCGATGGAACAACAAATTTCAGTACTTATTCCGGGAACTACACAGGTAGCATCGGATCAAGAGGCGGTAAAAAATCACGATGGAGATGATTCGACAACTATCGCAGATGCAGCCCCAGTCAATTTAGTTGCTTCAACAATACCAACAGCTCTAATAACACCTGTGAACAGTTCATCTACGCCACCAAGTACAAGTCTCATTGACTCGTATAGTATACGACGGCGATCAATGATCAGTTCAAACGACGCCACTGATGGTTCCATTCAGGTAGAACGATCCGATGGCAGCAGTAGTAACACTTTGTTTGAGGAGTTAAGTAACACAGAAATTATTGAAAAGTAAGGACCTCCACGTATAAAAAGATGTTCTGCTTTATTAATTTTTAAAATAGTCAGAACAGTTCTGTAAAAAGTACATTATACGTTTCATCAGTCAGTTCTGAATCTTTTAATCGATGCTGTTTATTTGAAAATCTTCATCGTTATCATTGGAGAGAAAGCAGTACCAAAAAATCTCTTACATTTTCCGGCGGAGACCCATAACTTAGTGATCATAGGTTAAACGGGATGCGTAAACGTCTTGCCCGGACAATTCGTGATCTTCCCAATGAATCACCAAAGAAAAAGCAGAACTGTACCGCGGAAAAAACTAAATTAATGGATGCAACGCGATGCTTAAACGGAGCTTGCAAAGTGTGCAATTTTCCTTGCTTTTTCTTCCAATGAAGAGTCGTTCCAAAGCTACTTTCAGGCAATGATTGAAGCAGCTTGCGACGGGAAAATTGAGAAGACGACGGAGATAATAAACGAGGTTATCCAATGTGCCGATAAAATAACGTCGGTCACAGAAAGATTAATCACCAAGTCCGACTCAATTTTTGAGGCTGAATTAGCTTCAGCAAAAACAGACCAAGTACTGTTTAAGTCTTGCGCAAATACACGTTACTCTCTCTAACTATCATGTGTAAAATATGTTTAATGAGCTGCTCATAGCCAAATGCGAAGTGCTGCTGTTGACAGCTGCGTGAACGCTTGGATTTCTAGAAAAAAAAAGGGAGGAAAGAGAAAAATAAGAACTTTGTTTCCTTGTTGCTGCTTCGTGCATTCCTCGTTGATCTTCGTGGACAACCACAGAACACTCATCATATTTTATCCATTACTTCGGTTTACCATGAGTGTTTTAAGAGTCTCTCGTGAAGAATTCTCTACACATTATTACAGAATTGGGTAATTAAACCTTTGCATAATCCTTACAATTCAAAAAGTAGCAATAACACGAAAAGTTACAACAATATTACGACGTTACTTACAGCAACAAAGCAAGAAATAAAGTTTAAAAAAGGAGCAGGCGCGGAGAATAAAATACATTATCAAAACCTTGCACTTCTGTCTAATTTATATACTTCTTCCTTGTTACTGTCGAATTCCGTCTTCCAATCTCAGTGATTACTGAAACTCGGTACGTCTTCTTTAATGCAGAATAACTTGCTTGCCGCTGAATTTCTTTCTTTTGTTTTCTTGACTTATTGGGTTTTGGCCGACTATATAATGGTGTAGGTGCGCTGCGCCCTTCGAGAACCTGAGAAACTGGCCTATACTTCAGTTTCGGCGGCACATTTTAGATCCAGCAATCAATTTTTTTCTGATTTACATCAGCAAAACTTTCCTAATCTGAGAATATTCTAGAGACTAGTGAAAAAACAGGACTTGCTAGAGGATTACCAAGAACTGGAACTGGTGCTTTTAATTATTCCTGAGTAAAAAAACTGCTTTTTGAAACCATATCATTATCGTTAATTCAAAAATACCAGAAAAAACAAATTTTCTTTTGAAATAAATAAATCTATTGCAGATGCTGAAATCGCTACAAGATACGATAATATGCTTGGATAAAGCTGAGGAATGTGCTGGAAATATCGGAAGCCAAACTGTTAACGAAATGTTAGCTAAAAATACGGCATTAAGCGCCAATATAGCACAACTATTGGAGACATTTTACAGGAGACCATCCTGAAAGATAAAGGGAAGCCAACAATTTACGCCCGTTAGAATCATGGTAGATTAGTAAATTTATAAGCGTCTTCATATATTAACGTTACTGGCAAGCTTTATGGCTGTTTATAGTTTTTCATTAAAACCTGCATTCTTTTTCACGATAGTACGAAAACTCACGTATTCAAACCTGTCCATTTTATACTTCGATAACGCAAATCGTACCAAAATTTTTTTGAAACCATTTGGAATTTGTGTTATAATCATGTCTTGTTTTGTGGCAACTCACTCTCTCCGTCTTCTTACAATTCCACTTGTCCCCTTCCAGTCATCATTATTTGGCAGTGTTGGGATTTCAATTTTTTAACAGCATAAACGGATGTAAACAAAAAGATAAGTAAAATAAAACATAACCGTTAGAATCTTTTCCAAAAAAGAAAATTATAAACCATTTATGA